AAAAAGTATGTACATGTTCAATACAGACATACTTTTGTCCCCAAACATTTTGGGGGGTTTTTTTGTTTGTTTGTTTCTTTTTGGTGGCTGGCCAGTACAGGTATCTGAACCTGTGATCCTGGGGTTATAAGGCTGTGTACTCTGACCAACTGAGCTACCTGGGCAGGTTCTTCCCCAAATATTTTAAACCCGCAGTTGGTTGAATCCAAGGATGGAGAACCCACAGATACAAAGGGCCAACCATAACATATTTTATTTATCCATTCATCAGTTGATGGACATTTGGGTTGTTTGTACTTTTTGGCTATTATGAATAATGCTACTATAGACATTCGTATACACTTTTTGTGTGGATATTTGTTTTCAGTTCTCTTGGGTACATATCAGAGTAGAACTATTGGGTCAAAGGTAACTCCTTCTATGTTTAACATTATGAGGAAGTGCCAAGCTGTCTTCTAAAGCAGGTGCACCATTTTACAACCCTATCAGCAATATAACAGGATTACAATTTCTCCATTTCTTTTGCCAACACTTGTTACTGTCTGCCCTTTTGATTATGGCCATCCTAGTAGGTATGAAGTGGTATGTTACTGTCATTTTGATTTGTATTTTCCTAATGACTAATGTTGTTGAACATCTTTCCATGGGCTTATTGGCCTCTTGTATATCTTCTCTGGAGAAATACCTATTCAGATCCTTTGCCCATCTTAAAACTGCATTATTTGTCCTTTCATTCTTGAGTTATGAGTTCTTCATATGTTCAGCATACAAAAGTCCCTTATTACATGATTTGCAAATATCTTCTTCCATTCTGTGGGTTGACTTTTTACTTTCTTGATGATAACCTTCAAAGCGCAAAAGTTTTTAATTGGATGTAGCCCAACTTATCTTTGTCTTTTGCCACTTCTGCTTCTGGTGTCATATCTAATAAACCACTGCCTAATCCAAGGTCAGGGAGATTTATTCCTATGCTTTCTTTTAAGAGTTTTATGGCTCTAGCTCTTACATTTAAGTCTACGATCCATTTTGAATTAATTTTCCTGTATGGTATGAGACAGGGGTCCAACTTCATTCTTTTGCACAGGATATACAGTTGTTCTAGCACCATTTACTCGAAAAACTATTCTTTCCCCATTGAATTGTCTGGGCAATCTTGTCAAAAATCAACTGACCATAGATGTAAGGACTTATTTCTGGACTCTCAATATATTCCATTGGTGTATGTCTATCCTTATGCCAATACCACAATGTTTTATTATCATAGCTTTCTTCTAAGTTTTGAAACCAGGAAGTGTGAGTCCTACAACTTTGTCCTATTTCAAGACTGTTTTGAGTTCCTTGTCTTTCCATATGAATTTTAGGATCAGTTTGCCAATTTCTGTCCCGCTCCTCCCCAAAAAAGGACAGCTGGGATTTTGATAGGGACTGCACTGAATCCATAGTTTATACTTTAGGTGGTACTGCCATCTTAATAATGTTAAGTATTCCAATTCAACAACGTGGGATGTCTTTCCAGTTACTTAGATCTTTAGTTTCCTTTAAAAATGTTTTACGGTTTTCTTTGTACAAGTATACTACTCCTTTGGTGAAATTTATTCCTAAATGTTTTTTCCTTATTGATGCTACTGTAAATAGAACTGTACTCTTTATTTCATTTTTGGATGTTATTGCTAGTGTACAGAAATACAACATTTTGTACAACATTTGGTACATGCATCTCATTTCCTGCAACCCTGTTGAACTTATCAGTTCTAGTAGTTTTTTTGGTGTATGTGTGTGGATTCCTTAGGATTTTCTATATTCACGATCATACCATTTATAGTTTTGCTTCCCAATCTAGATATACCTTTTTTTTTTTTTTCATGTCCGGCAACGGACCGCAACCCTCAGTGTCGCGCCTGTACCGGACCGGGACCGGCAACGGGATCGCAATCCTTGGCGTTGCTCCCACGCCTCGCTCAGCCAGTGAGCGGGAACCGGTCTGTATGTGGGATCCGAACCCTCAGCGGGAGCGCCGCCGCACTTCCCAAGCGGCGCACTGTAGCAGTGAGCCACCGGGCCGGCCCCTACCTTTTTTTTTTTTTAAATTTCCTAATTACTTTTGCTAGAACCTTCAGCACAATGTTGAACAGAAGTGGCTAGAGCATGTTTTTGACCTTAGAGACCTGTGGGATTTTCACAGATGTCATATCAGGTTAAGAAAGTTCTTTTCTGTTCCTAGTTTGTTGACTGGTTTTAATCATGAAAGGGTGCTGGATTTTGTCAAATGTTTTTTCTGTGTCTACTGAGATAATCACATGGTTTTTGTCCTTTATTAATATGGCATATTACACTGATTTCATATACTGAATCATCCTTACATTCCTGGGCTAAACTCCTCCTGACCATGATATATAATTCTCTTAAAAATATTGCCGGACCAATTCTGCTTATTTTCATTTAAAGTTTTAATTTCTACAACAAAGTGAAAATTAGACAAAGCCAACCTCTTACATGTCAAAAAGCAGGACTTTCTTTTGTATTTATTTATTTATTCCCCCCCCCCCCCCGTTTTTTTTTTGTCTTTTTTTGTGACCGGCAACGGATCGCAACCCTCAGTGTCGCGCCCGTACCTCGCTCAGCCAGCGAGCGGCCGGTCTGTATGTGGGATCCGAACCCTCGGCGGGAGGGCCACCGCGCTCCCAAGCGGCGCACTGTAGCAGTGCACCACCAGGCCGGCCCCAGGACTTTCTTTTTTAATGGCTGGGGTTTATGTATCTTACTTAGTATATGCTGGGAAACTTAAGCCATCTACCAAGTCAAGTACGTAAGTCTATGGTTGCTATAGACTGGATGCCCCCCCAACCTTGAGGCTTAATCCCCACTGTAACTGTTGAGGGTGAGAAATCCTATTATGGTAATTGAAAGGTGGGGACTTGAATAGGTGATTAGATTGTAGGACCATGCCACAGTGAATGGATTAATAATGGTGGTCAACAGTGTCGTTCTGATGATTTTAAAAGGAAAGCACATGAAGAGTTTTTCTCTTTCTGCTCCACCATTTTCACAATGTGATACCCTGCCATCACCATTGTCACCAAAAGACTTTCACCAGCTGTCTTCCCTGGACTTTGGACTTCCCAGCCTCAGAAACTATAAACAATAAATTTCATTTTCTTTATAAAATACCCAGTTTTGTGTATTTTGTTATAAGCAACAGAAATGGACTCATACAATGGAAAAATTAAGAACTTGTATTTGGTCTTTGTTCCCAGTTTCTGTCCTGAGATCCTAATTTCCTGAGCAACAGAAGAGTCAAAACAAGCCCCTTTCAACCATAACTGAGTTTATGCTAATGTGGTGATTGCCAGTAGGTCCCCTATCTAGCTTCAGAATAGGCGCTGGTCTCCAGAAGAACCAACCAAGTGAATAGAGAGGGTTGAAACTTTCAGCCCCAACCCCTGACTTCCAGGAAGGGAGAGGGGATTAAAGATTAAGCTCAATACCAGATGCCAATGACTTCATTAATGATGCCTAAGTAATAAAACTTTGATTACAACTTTGAAACAGGGAGGCTAGAGAAGCTTCCAGGCTGACGAACACATTAAGGTGCTGGGAGGGTAGACATGTCCAGAGAGGGCATAGAAGCTCTGCAACCCCCCACCCCAATACCTTGTATATGCATTTCTTCCATTTGTCCGTTTCTGAGTTGTATCCTTTATGATAAAACTGTAATCTTAAGTAGAGCACTTTCCTGAGATTATGAGTCACTCTAACAAATTATCAAACCTGAAGTGGGCTTCCCCAAAATTTGCAGCCAACTTGGACAGAACTGTGGTTAGCCTGGGGACCCAGGACTGGTGTCTTGTGGAGGCTGACACTAACTCTGAGTAGTTAGCATCAGAACAGAATTGAATTGTAGGACACCAGTTGACGTCACAGAACCAGAATTGGTTGTTGTTGGAAAAGACATTGCAGTCTCTTACAAGGGTACCTCGAAAAGTCTGTGGAAAGATTCATAATATCTTTTAACTCTATTTTTACACAAACTTTTAAGTACCCTCATATTACAGACTATTTGTCCAAACGATAAAAAGTAAGAAAATACAAATGGAGCTTTTGTTTCAAGAAGTGTGTATCCTTAACTAATTACTAAATAGTAACAGGCTTCTCCTTGAAGACTTGTTCTAGCAATAAAAAAGTAGTAATGAGCCCTTAGGATTGCTACCACTGAATGTATTTATCATGGGTCTAACACTGGCTTAATACTTGGTCTTGGTGTATCCAGCCAAAGCTTGCTTTAAAGAGTTAGTCTTGGACTGGCTGGTTGGCCCATTTGGTTAGAGCATGGTGCCAGTAACACCAAGGTCCAGGGTTTTTGTAACAGCCAGCCACCAAAAAAAAAAAAAAAGTTAGTCTTAATGAAATTCAAAGTCTAGAAGGCAGCAATAAGACATGAAAAATAATCCCAACAAGAGGCCACGTATTCTGTAGCATAGAAAAAGACATTTTTTGATATACAACTTTACCTTATAAAAACTGACATCTTCACATGCAATGATATGGCACTATTTTCTTGGTTAGGTTTTTATTGTATTAGTACTCTGTATATTTCAAAATGTCTAGGAACAATATGACATTTCTATAACTTTAAAAATGATAAGTTTTAAAATTACTACTGAAAATTTCATTCATTCATTCAACAACAATTCATCAAGAAAGAATTCATTAAGAAAAAGGCATTGTAAAACTAATGGTAGCTTCTATTTGGGCCATCTTATAAGATACAGAGTTTTGGGGTAATTTAGTAATTGTCTTGGGTGGAGTTCTAGACAGACTGCCCAAAGGTTTAAGAAAAAGGCAGGCAAAGAATAACATTAACCTATGAAAAGTAGAAATTAATCTCAATAATAGTGACTTCAATACCAGTGAAAGCACATTATATCCGGAAGATCAAGTGGAATACCTTTTCTTCCTAACCAAGTACATAAACGTATGTTCATGAAGTGTCTAGGTCTTACCTCATCTATGTTTCTAAGCCATTTGCTGATGTTTTCAAAACTTTTACCATTAGTGATGTCATATACTAGCATGATACCCATTGCTCCTCTGTAGTAGGAGGTTGTGATGGTGTGAAATCGCTCCTGGCCTGCCGTATCCCTGAAAATAAACAGCCAATAATTTGTATTAAGCATTTTGATATAACTACATTCCAGGTAAAGGACAAAACAGTAGAATAGTTTGTAAAATAGACGGAGATTAAAACTCACTATCAAAGCAAAACAGAACAACCATTCATTTAACTCTTAAATGGTAAACAATTATGGTTCTTCTTAATGGTAAATAATATATGGTAAATATATATATATACTTTTTAGTTTAAGGCAATTAATGATCTATGATACTGGATGAAAATCTGGAAGGGAAAACAGTAGAAAGTGATATTCAAAACTCGTGAAGTTATTTAAGGAACACTGGCAATCATCATAAAAACTCAGAATTCCATTTTATAGAGTGATTTCGTTCCATAATGTAATACAGAAACATATGGAATTTTTAGAACATTAAACGACTACACTTTAGTATAGCCACATTTACACTTAGAATTATTTACAAAAAGTTGTAAAGATAACCTCACATGTAAATAACAAGACAGAAATACGCAAATATTATTTTTCATTATTATTTAATGACATCAAGCCAAAAGTTTAGATATATTTTGTTCCTGTAATTATGCCCTCTCTTTTGTGGATCATTCTCATCAGCATACAAATGTATTTTAGTATCTATCTTTTTTAAAAAGCAAAAATAAACAAAAAAAAAACCCACTCTCGACCCCACATCCCTCCAAGTAATACTTCATTTTGCTATTCTTCTTCCTAGCTAACATTTCATAACTTTTATTTTGAAATAATTATAGCCTTACAGGAAGTTACAAAAACAGTACGCAGAGGTCCTGGGCACCCTTCACTCAGCTTTCCCCAATGGTAACATCTGACATAACTATAGTAATTAAAGACCTTACTTACTCAGATTTCACAGCTTTTTTGTATGCACTCACTTGTGAATGCGTATACGTACAGTTCTTCTCAATTTTATCACATGTACAGATTTGTGTAACCAGCATCCCAAACAAGATAGAAAACTGTTGTATCACTCCTCTGTCCCTCCCACCCCCCCAAGTCCCTAAATTCTGGCCAATAAACTGTTTTCCATGTCTATACTTTCACCATTTGCAGAACGTTCTGGTATGTTAACTTCTGAAATTGGCATGTGTCACTTTTTTCAGCATGATGCCCTTGAGATCCTATCCAAGTTGCTGTATGTGTGGATATGAGTTTTCACTTCTCTGGGATAAATACGCAGGAATAACATTCCTAGGTCACATTATAGGTGTATGTTTAACTTCAGAAGAAAATGCCAAACTCGTCCAGAGTGGGTGTACCTCTTTCTATTCCCACTAGCAAGTATGACAGATCCAGTTTCTCTGCATCCTCACAAGCATTTGATGCTGTCACTATTTTTTATTTCAGTTGTTCTAATATGGCATATAGTAGTACAAGAGTACTTCAAAAAGTCTGTGGAAAAATAGAATTAAAAGATAATACAAATCTTTCCATGAACTTTCTGAAGACCCCTCATATCTCATAATTTTAATTTGTATTTCCCTGTGGCTAAGATGTTGAACATTTTTTCATGTGCTTATTTGCCATCCATACACCCTCTCTAGTGAAATATCTGCTTATGTCTTTTGTCTATTTTCTTTTTTTTTTTTTTTAAAGATGACCGGTGAGGGGATCTTAACCCTTGACTTGGTGTTGTCAGCACCACACTCTCCCAAGTGAGCTAACCGGCCATCCCTATATAGGGATCCGAACCCTTGGCCTTGGAGTTATCAGCACCACACTCTCCTGAGTGAGCCACACGCTATTTTCTAATTGGACTGTTTGCTTTTTTTACTGTTGGCTTTTGAGAATTCTTTTTATATACAAGTCCTTTGTCAGATATGTAGTTTGCACATATTTTCTCCAAGTCTGTAACTAGTCTTTTCATTCTCTTGACAGGGTATTTGGCAGAGCAAGAATTTTATATTTTGTTGCAGTCCAATTTTTTTTTTTTAATCTTTTATGGATCATGTTCTTAGCATCCTGCCTAAGAACTCTTCATCAAATCTTAGGTTCCAAAGATTTCTTCTGAAAGTCTAATGGTTTCATTACATTGATGATACATATTGAGTTAGTTTTGGTACAGAGTGTGATTATTAAGTAGAAGCTCATGTTTTTGCCTAGTAGTGCCAAATCGGTCCAGTACCATTTGTTAAAATGTTGAGGTAATGTCCTTCCTCTATTGAATTGCTTCTGCATCTCTGTTACAAATGTGTAGGCCACAGTGTAGTCTATTTCTGGGTTCTTTATTCTGTTCCAATGCCCTACGTCTCTATGCCTCCTCCATCACCATACTTCCTTGGTTTACTGTAACAAAATAAAAAGTCTTAAAACACAGTAGACTGATTCTCCCCACCTTTTATTTTGTCAGAATTGTTTTAGCTATTCTAGCCTTTGCATATAAATTTTAGGATAAGCTTGTCTACATTTACAATAAAATCTTTCTAGCAAACTTCTTTAAAGAGTTATCTCTAGTCTCTGTTTCCCCACATTCATTCCTCAACTAATTCTAATCAGATTGCTATTACTGCAATACTATATACCAAGACTGCTCTTCAAAAGGTCTCCAGTGACCTTTCTGATTGCCAAACTTAGTAATTACTTCCTTTTAATATATCTTAATCACTAAGCAGGATTCCACACAGCTGATCATGTTCTCTTATTCAAACACTTTATTCTCACGACTTTTCAAATACCATGTTTCTGCTCTTTGTTCTATGTCACTGGCTGCTCGTTTTCAGTACTTGTTGGCATTCTAAGATTCAGAGATGATGGGCTGCCAATCTCCACACATCAGTCAGAGTGATCTTCTTTAAACATATGTTTGATCACATTTTTCTACTCAACACTTCCAGTAGCTTCGATGGGGAAAGAATAGGCTTTTCAACAAACGGCGGAAGAACAACTGAATATCCTCCCCCTGCAAAAGAATGAAGCTGGACCCCTACTCCATACAGTATACAAAAATTAAAACAAATCTTGGGGCCGGCCCGGTGGCGCACTGCTACAGTGCTCCGCTTGGGAAGCGCGGCGGCGCTCCTGCCGAGGGTTTGGATCCCACATACAGACCGGCAGCTCACTGGCTGAGCGAGGTGCGGGAGCAACACCGAGGGTTGCGATCCCGTAGCCGGTCCCGGTCCGGTACGGGCGCGACACTGAGGGTTGCGATCCGTTGCCGGTCACGAAAAAAGACGGGCGCGACACTGAGGGTTGCGATCCGTTGCCGGTCACGAAAAAAGACGGGCGCGACACTGAGGGTTGCGATCCGTTGCCGGTCACGAAAAAAGACGGGCGCGACACTGAGGGTTGCGATCCGTTGCCGGTCACGAAAAAAGACAAAAAGGAAAAAACAAAAAACAAATCTTAAGACCTAAATGTAAGAGCTAAAACTATAAAATCTCTTACAAGAAGACACAGGGGGATATCTTCATGATCTTGGATTTGACAACTGTTTCTTAGATAGGTCACCAAAGAACAAGCAACAAAAGAAAAACTAGACTGAACTTCATCAAAATCAAAAACCTTTATATTTCAATAGACACTAGCAAGAGAGTGAAAAGACAACCCACAGAATAGAAGAAAACAGTTGCAAATCATAAATTTGATAAGGGACTTGTGTATGCAGAATATACAAAGAAGTCTTACAACTCAGCAATAAAAGGACAAATGACCAGACTTAATAATGGACAAAGGATCTGAACAGACACTTCTCCAAAGGAGGTATACAAATGGCCAATAAGCACATAAGATGCTCAACATTAGACATTAGCAAAATGCAAATCAAAACTACAACGAGACACCAATTTACCCCCATTAGGAGTGTTATAATAAAAAAGACAATAACACATGTTGGTGAGTATGTAGAGAAATTAGAACTCTCAACCATTGTTGGCAGCAATGTAAAATGATGCGGCCACTTTGAAGAACAGTCTGATATTTCCTCAAAACGTTAAGCATACAGCTATCCTACAATCCAGCAATATTACTTCTAGGAATATAACCAAGAAAAATAAAGACATATGCCCCCACAGAAACTTACACGAGTACTCACAGCAACATTACTCATAATAGCCAAAAGCAGAAACAACCCAAATGTCCATCAACTGATGAATGGATAAATAAAATGTGGTATATCCATACAATAGTGTATTATACAGCCATAAAAAGGAATAAAGTACTGATACATGTACGACATGGATCAACCTTGATAACATTATGCTAAGTGAAACAAACTAATTACAGAAGATCATATACTATATGATTCCATATGTATTAAATGTCCAGAATAAGAAAATCTATAGAGACATAAAGTAGATTAGTGGTTGCTACGGCAAGGAGGTTGGGAGGTTGGGAGTGAAGATTATGGGGTTTCTTTTTGAGGGTTAGAAAATGTTCAAAAACTGTGGTGATGGTTGTACAACCTTGTGAATACATTAAAAACCACTAACTGTACATTTTAAATGGGTAAACTGTATGGTATGTGAATTATGTCTCAATAAAGCCATTATAAAACAATCAAACTAAAACATGACAAGGCTTAAAAACAAAACCAAAAAACTTCCAGAGGCAGCTCATTATAATCAGAATGAAGTCAAACTCTTTATCCTGGGGCTTATAAAGCCTTACAAAATTTATAATTTATACGGAATTTATTATTTCTCCAGCCCCCATAATTTTGAGGCACTCTTTTCCCTAACCACTAGAGCTGCATTTTTTTCATGTCCCCAAACTCACAAGCTTGTTCTCACCTGACAGACTCTGTACTAGCAGTTCCCACCACCTGTACATGATTGGCTTCTATTCACCTTTCACATTTTAAATGTGCTTAACATGTTCATACATCTGTCATTTATCCATTTATCCATCAATTCAAATATTTATTGAGTGTCTACTATGTGCTAGGCATTATGCAAGAACACATACAGAACATGAGCTTAGAGTCAGACTCAAGTTTATTTTCAGGCTCCACTCCTCTTCCAGAGGGGCAAACTTGAA